AGAAAGACAATTATTGCAAGAAATATAATGTCTGGTCTTGATCAACATTCATATTTTCAAAAATGACAAGTTTGAAGTAAATTGTATACAGACGTATTTTAACCCTTTCAAGACCAGTGTAGGCAAAAGAAAATTTAGTTATTTCCTTCAACATGTATATGTATATACAAATGTTGCACTTAAAATTGGTTGGAAAATGAAGGCATACAAACAAGTGGAAAAACAACTGATAGAAACGTTCTTTTCTACCTAAAGATAAAATAAAATATTACTGTTACTGTTAGATGATGGTAATAGAATTATTCTCAAGGAGCGTTTCAGTAACAATGGTTTTGAATTAAGGAGAAGATTGAGCATAAGATCTTTTCTATAAATACAGCATGATGGATGACGGATAACTGTGGCAAGCAGCTGCCAGGTGACATTGCTCCACGACTTATGATCCATGCTATGGAAGTAAACTGATCCCACGATTTACATTAGAGAAAATCAATAATAGAAACCATACCAGACATTATTATCACAAATCAATCGATTTGATATTAATCTGTAACTTTGAACCCAAAATAAAACAAAATATGTATACTAAAACTACTTTATGAACTAATTGCTGTCAACAGACTAGGTCAAATCAATACTTTCTGCTATACCACACATAAACACATGCAACAAATAAATAGTGCTGTCAATGATCACTTTCATCAAGTCAGCATTTATTAATATTTACTTAATTTCCAATTAATTTTAATTTTATTTGTGTAAACGTTTCATTGTTCCTTTTAACCAGGATTAGAGATGTATTTTCTGAATGAATGCAATAAAAAATTAGCTATTTTAATTGATGTGTCGCCAATCTTATGTATTTATATAGTTAACCATTTTGAGGCTAATCCAATATATGTAATATTAGTTTACAGATGTTTTTTGTGCAGGACTAGTGGATAAATAAATGCCAACTTGTGGAACAACCACTCTTTGTTACCAACAAAAAATATTTGTGGCTTAAATTATCCCATGGTGCTCATCAAAAAGCAGTTTTATAGCTTTCATAGTGATTTATGTTATAAAAAGGAACAAATCTTCATTTTGGACTTAAATCATAACCCAAAATAATATTGTAATATATATGAAATCTGTGAATTCATTGGAAAAACTGTCATGATTTAATACACACAAGAACAGAATGAAGAATGGAGACTAGGATCAATAAATCTGTAAGATTGCCATCTAAAAAGGTACCTGTCAGGTTAATGTGAAAGCAATTGTGCAAATAGTTGTAAAGAAAAATTTGAAAAGATAGAGACAAAAGACAATTATAACAAACAATGTTTGGCAAACAATGGTGGTAAGTATGGTGGTATGAATTCTTAGCATTGTGCTTATCATTCACAGTAGTGACATTTAGTGTTACTAAGCAACTGTTATTCAAACTAAATGTGGCGATATGAACACTAAATAACATCAGTATACGTATGCAAAAGTATGCAGAGAGAATCAAATTATGCAACTGTTTTACCGCTGCGCAGCGAGAATTTCAGACTGGATAACAACAACTTGCATGGTGCAATGACTATAGCTCATAATAATGATGACTGAAAGTTCATTTTGTAAACAATAGAAGGGTTACGAGTGAAAACAAGTTTTTGTCAATTTAAGAGTGATGAATGTAGTCATGTTAGTATACAAGTGGAAAATATGGTCATGTCAGTATTGAGCGATAAATGCAGTCGTATCGCCATACAAGTGGTGTATGCATAGTAATGTCATTGTACTCGTGATAAATGCAGGTATGTTTTAGTTCAGACATAGTTAGGCAAGATTGAATCAACAATGGCGACTATTCATAGTACTTCAAAGCATCCAGATGGCTGGCTATTTTAATTGAACCGAGTTTCAATTAATTTTTTTCCGGTACATTAAACAAGCACAAATAAAGACAATATGGAAGTCTAAAATAATGAAATGTATGTCATACATTGCTTGGATACAGTCAAAAAAGGGGATTCACAAAAATAGTTTGGCACAAAACATATTTTAGAAAAAAAAAATACCATATGATATATGTTGTGTCATAAATGCAGACTATTCAAAGCAGTACAATTGTTGTTTCCTGGGCAGTAAGATATAGGTTGTTTTATCCATGTTCACCACCCTCTTTCCATCAAAAAACAGCCCCGTTTATAGTCTGCTTTTTTCTTTAGAAGATTCGTACAAAAATAGCCAAATTTTTTGAGTAAAACTGACTCAAATTTTGTCTGTTGGCTCCAAAATTAAGGTTCATTTCCAGAAATAATGAAGAATATAAGAACAAAGTGCAGATAAATTTGTGTGAGAAAGTCTGGTGGTGAAAGGGTTAAATCAAGCAGATTCAACAATTTAAAATCAGTAACACTGATTTTGACAATATACACACATAAACAAGCAGTATTCACATGATGCATGGATTCAAATAGAAGATAAAGATGATGAAGATAAAGATGATATTAACATTTTAAGTAACTCTTCCAGTCTTTGACCTTACTATGCAATGTAATCCCTGGAGCACACAGACACATGCAAAGTGCACACAGAGTACAGAGACCTTTAAGGCATGTATGCACCTTACACAAAGCCTGTAGAATATCTGTTTATATATGTGAAACAGAAACTGAATGCTTTCATTAAAAGTAATCTGAATACTATTTAACAGGGATAAAAAGATATTAACGCAAGAATTTGATCTATCACATAGCCCTATAGACTGTTATCACAATTTATGCAAAAGACCGCAGGCATGTTGCCATGGTTACTACAAGACAGACATTCGGTGTACAGACCGTTAAACAGTACACTATGAATGGTTCCTGTGATGTAGTTAAACAACTGGCGAATATTTCAAATTTCAGAGCGAGTGTGAGTTGAGTGTGAGGTGAGTGTGAGTTGAGTGTGAGTTGAGTGTGAGTTGAGTGTGAGTTGAGTGTGAGTTGATTGTGAGTGAGTGTGAGTGAGTGTGAGCTGGGTGTGAGCTGGGTGTGAGCTGGGTGTGAGTTGAGTGTAAGCTGAGTGTGAGTTGAGTGTGAGTTGAGTTGAGTTGAGTGTGAGTTGAGTTGAGTGTGAGTGAGTGAGTGAGTGTGAGTTGAGTGTGAGTTGAGTGTGAGTTGAGTGTGAGCTGAGTGAGTTGAGTGTGAGCTGAGTGTGAGCTGGGTGTGAGTTGAGTGTAAGCTGAGTGTGAGTTGAGTGTGAGTTGAGTTGAGTGTGAGTTGAGTTGAGTGTGAGTTGAGTTGAGTGTGAGTGAGTGAGTGAGTGAGTGTGAGTTGAGTGTGAGTTGAGTGTGAGCTGAGTGTGAGTTGAGTGTGAGTTGAGTGTGAGTTGAGTGTGAGTTGAGTGTGAGTTGAGTGTGAGTTGAGTGTGAGTTGAGTGTGAGTGAGTGTGAGCTGGGTGTGAGCTGGGTGTGAGCTGGGTGTGGGCTGGGTATGAGCTGGGTGTGAGCTGGGTATGAGCTGGGTGTGAGTTGAGTGTAAGCTGAGTGTGAGTTGAGTGTGAGTTGAGTTGAGTGTGAGTTGAGTTGAGTGTGAGTTGAGTGTGAGCTGAGTGTGAGTTGAGTGTGAGCTGAGTGTGAGCTGAGTGTGAGCTGAGTGTGAGCTGAGTGTGAGTTGAGTG